TGTCTAAGTTAGAGAAGAGACTTTCAAAAATTAATGAAAATTGCCAAGGTGGGAGAGGGTCGAGTCCAGAAGTTCTTTCATCAGTCCTTCAACTCTAGACTTTTTGAGTTAAAATGTCAGGGGAGGTGGGGGGGGGGGCGGAATCAAGGCAGGAGTTTCAAGGAAGAAGGAATAGTTCCCTGATTCTGAGAGCAGAAAAACATTATGATGGATTTTTTTTATTTATGAGAAAATATTAAAATTGACATAAAACAAAAAAAACAACCTGAAAGTAAATCAACAGTGTCAGCTAAAATAATAATGGTAATATCAACATTATAATAATGATAGCTGGCATTTCTATAGCACTTGAAGATTTCCAAAGCACTTTACAGATGTTATCTGATTGGATTCTCACAACCCTTTTGTCAGGTAGTTGCTATTATTGATCTCTGTTTTACAGATGAGGCCAAGAGAGGTTAAGGCAGGTAATATGCTGATAGCTATAACCCTGAGGGATCATTACTGAATCTGGCTGCCTTAGATGCTTTAAATCTTAAACATGAGAATTGGAGAGATGAAAAATAGCATTTTGGTAACAGGGTATAGATTGTCATGATAATAAGGTTTCGATTCAACTTCATATTGTCAACACTTAAATTCTAATTCCATCCATCTTCCAACTATTATCAAAGGCTAATTGAGAATTCTGTAGTAATTTGATTCACTTAAATTGAACAAACACTTATTACATGCCTAGCAGGAGGCAGCTTGGTGTAGAGGAGATTTAGGAACAGGCTTTGGAGTCAAGAAGTCTTGGCTATAAGTCCCACCCTCCAACACATGCTGGCAATGTGGCCTTGCATAAGTTGATTAACTGTCCTCTCAGTAAATATGCCAGCTGTTTCTCTAAGACTAAGTTACCAAGTAGGTGCCGACTTGCATTGGTACAGGGATTTCCTCTACCTGGAACTCTCTGCACTAATAAAATCACAGGTCTGGTCAAAAGAGGGGGGAAAAAGTGCCTAATGCTGTGAATGAGACTCAGTGTTTAAATAAAACAGTCCCCAATGTCATGAAATTTAAGGGAAGGCTCTAAAACCTTCACAGTTTGCTGCAGTCTGTCTTTCATGGCATCTGTACTCTGTGCATCAGTATCCAGTGTATTATTCTGTAGTAACGTAAATTCAGTCAGGTGCCCATATTAAGTGCATACTCAACTTAGATGTGGGGAAAGGGGCCTCTGGATCAATGGTGACCCCAGGGGCTCTGGTAACAGGGGGTTCAGTCTTCCACAGGAGCTGATGGTAGCTGTCCCAGTTCTTCATCACAGAGCCGTAGTCAGTCTGGGTCTCTGGCAGGTTGCCATCCATGTTTTGTGTTGCAGTCTGACTTTTGCAAGGTCTGAATTTACTGTGGCAACAGATGTGGTGAAGAAGAAGGAAGGAAGAGGAAAAAGGGTAGTCTCAAGTAGGAAATACAGTTGGGAAGGGATGGGCTTTGATGTGATGATGACAGACACCTTCAAGTCTAGGAAGTGTCGGGACATTGGAGGGGATGGATGGAGGACCATTTGTTGTTAAAGGATGTGTGTAATTCACACATCCTTAAATCAGAGAGACTCATTGTGTTGTATTATAAAGTAGGATACATGTGTTCAACTGTACAGGGAAGGGGATATCTACCATCAGTCTCTACAGGACTGAGTAGATAGTCTCTTTTCCCAAAAAGTGTGCACCAGAGATTAACCTGCAAAGCAATTCTGCCAAATTCCCTGAATGACTCTTTGCTCTGGAATGACTTCCTGTGGGTACCATTCCATGTGGGTCACTGCTTTGTTGCCAGTGCCCTATCAACTGTTTCTCAACGTCCTTATGTTCCCTGAATTTCTTAAGACTCATGGTATAAATCCACACCCATAGCAGGATATTCATCAATCTGCCAAAGCTGATTTAGAGCTAGGAAAATGTCAGTCCTAGAGCATTCTGACACATTGTCGAAATGTCTTTGCTTTGGAAGATCATCTGGCCCACAGGGATGGTGTTAGAATAAATGAGGGGATCTGCCATAGATCCAATGCTTGGCACTCCTTGAAAGCCGACATTCTTTACACCTAAGGCATTATTACTGTGCTGTCAGACATTGCAGAAAACATGTCAGAAATGAGAACACACAGCGTACATACAGGCGCCTGCCTCCATGAAAAGCTGGATTATAAAGATCTCTGGGGCTTCAATTAGGCACAGCTTGTCCACAAGTTTGAGCTCCCTGTTTGCCTCAGTTTGGTTATGGTTACCCCCAAGAAATGTATGCTGTGTCCGTGTATTTGTTAATTCAGTGATTCACTGAACAAGCATTGATTATGTTCCAATTGTGTTCTCAGATTCCTAGATTTAGAGGTAGAAGGGAACTTGGAGACCATCTAGTCTAGCCTCCCACATTTTGCGGATGAGGAAATGAGGTCCAGAGGGCTTAAGTGACATGTCTAACTTCAAGAATACTAAGTTGCAGAGGTGTGCTATTTAAACCCAGCTCCTCTGACTCCAAATCCAATCATTTTTCTGCTGTGCCCAGATGAGGTTGAACACGATTGAAATGACTCAACAACAACCACAAAAATGAGAAGGTTGGAGTAGCTTGGCCTGTAAGTCTATGGTCCTTTGACATTTCAGAATGATAAAATTTTAGAACTGGAAAGGAGCCTTAGAGACCATCTGGTAAAACCCCTTCATTCTATAAAAACTGAGATCCAAAAAAGTCCCCTAGTTTGTCCAAGGTTGCATTGCTAGGTAGGGGTGAAGGTGGGATAAGAACCCAGGTTTCTCCTGAGTTCAAGCCTGGAGCACTTTGCACCATTATCATCTTGTCCCTTGAGGAAGGAAGGAAAGACGAACATTTCCTCCTATCCTACTCTCAGTTCTCTGGCCACCAGAGTATGTAGGTGAAAGTGAAATGATGGGGTGTTCCAGTTTCCTTCCTCAGGCCCAGGAAATATCTGTGCAGGGGGAAGCACCATCTCCCAAATCCATCCCCATCTCATTTCCTCATTCCGGAGAAAAAGGGGATCTCTAGCAAGGGAGGGAAAGCTAATTGAGGGCTCCTTTACTCATGGGTACTGCTCTTCCCAGGCTTGCCAAAGATGTTCATTGGATAGCATCTTTCTCTGTAAACTGAGGCTAATCTGGATGATTTGTTACCTCCTTCCCTGGGCAAGTTAGCTAATTACGGGTTGTGATGGGTTTGTAAATCTATCCAGCCTAAGAATGTTGAGTGACAAGTGAGAATGAGGCCCCTCAATTTATAATCATTCCACTTGTACTTGGAGAGAAGAGCTCTCATGAAGCAATTACAGGCATACAGTGTGGGAGGGAGCGGGGACCAGAGGTGTCTTCAATTTTCAGTGTAAATCAGTGGGCATTGCTTAAGTGTTGATCATGGGCCAGACCCTTTGCAAAGCCTTAAATGAAATGATCTCTGCCCTCAAGGAACTTCTATTAGGGGAACAATGTGTATACAAATACAGATGGGAGGAGTTCCCAGTTATCCAAAGATGTAAGGAATTGGAACCAGAAAAAGGCCAATTTAAGTGAATCCTCTCAAAATGAGGACCAACCTTTCATAGTAAATGGTATTTTTTAAAAAAAAGAGCTAATTGGCAATTTATCTTGAAATATAAAATGAAAAAATATGAAAACAAGTTTAATTTATCATATTTAGCACAAGTAAGGTTATAATTGAAACTGTGCTTTAATCCTTAGAATGAACCAAGTGTTAATTGGGGGAGGGGGTTTTTGGCATAATTTTTCTGGCAAAATTGTATGACAGCACATTACAACATCCTTACTTATGACTTATAAAGATGGCTATTTTTGGAAAAATATATTCCAGGGTTTCATCAATTTTCCCAAGGAGCTTTTCTTAATTCTTTGATATGCAAATTGTTCTCTTTTGAAGTGCCTGAGTAAAATCAGCCAATTAGAAAGTAAGAGAGTTATGGGGGGGGGGGTTGACTGGGATAGACATTTTTGTTTAGGGGGAAGAATGCTTGAATGGGGACTAATTTTCTAAGTGACTAATTCATTAGCAAATATTTTTCATGTTTTGCTTCCCAAGACTTGTAGGGAGGTAGTTTGACATAGTGGGAGAGCCCTGACCTCTGAGCCAAGAAGACCAGGGTTCAAGTTCACCTCAGTTGACTCTGGACCTGGAGATAGTCACTTAACCTGTACTGGGAGAGGGAGTTCCCTTCACAGATTCAGACCAAGACAAAATACAAAGTCGGAAGTGTGGGATGACTTGGATAATGAATATTTGGATAAGAATCTCCTGTAAATGCAAGCTATGTACTAATATATACTAAGTAATGTTGGAGTGTGGGGCATCAGTTACTGAGGTGATCAGGAAAGAGAAATGGGAGGTGTCATGTGAGCTGAGTCTCAAAGGAAGTCAGGGATGCTAACAGATGAAAAAGAAGAAGGAATGCATCCCAGTCATGTGATAAAGTCTGCTCAAAAGTACACAGGTAAGAGTTGCGGTGTCACTGTGAAAGGCCAGTTTGGTTGGAATATAGAGGACAACTAAAAGGAGTCATGTGCAGTAAGCAGGGATAGCATGGTAGAAAATGTGCTATACTAGGAACCAAGAGACCTGAGTTCTGGTCCTGGCTTTGCCATTCACTAACAGTATGGCTTTGCACAGGTTCTCCCTGGGCCTCAGTTTCCTCATTAATGACCCTTTCAGCTCTGACTGTCTTTCATCCTTTTGGGGAAGGCTTTATTGTTGTGCCAGATGCCCAGCTAAGATCGCAGGGTTAGATCTAGAAGGGGCCTTAGAAGTTATCTCAACCACCCCACCACTACCTCATTTTACAGATGAGGGATTGTGGTCCAGGGGAGTTACACCAGATTACGCAGCTAGCAAATAGCAGAGAGAGGGTTTTAACCCATGTCCTGAGACTCCAAATCCAGCAATCTTTCCGTTTGTGCAATGATTATATCCTTTTTTCCCCCATTTTCTTTCAGGAGCCCAGCAACCAGGCATGCCGTATTACACTGACCCTGGAGGAGCTGTGATGAACCCAATGGCGATGGCTTTCCATGTCCAGCCCAACTCACCCCAGGGCACCCCAGTTTATCCACCCCCACCGTCCTACTGCAATACGCCACCTCCCCCCTATGAACAGGTGGTGAAGTCCTCCAAGTAGTGGTGATGGAAGGTCAGGTGATTTGATGCTGTAGGAAGAAGGCACCATGCGGTAGTCACAGGGAGCTGAGGGAGGGGGCCTCGGCATTTCGGAGATACTTGTCCTTCTACCCTCCCTGTCCCCATCAATGTTAGTCACAAGGAATGATCTTATGGGCTGCTTGTGGGTCCATTTTCCTTTGATGTCTTCAAAGCAAGCACAATGCCCCTTCTGAGGGTTTTATGGAGACCTCTCTTTTAAAGTCACATTGTGTGTGTGTTTGTGTTTTCTGTTTATTTATTGTTTCTGTTTGTTTCCCCGGCTGTTGAGGCACCAGGGCTGAGTGCAGTAGTTGTTTGGGGGTCTGTCAGGGCCACGAGACATTTCGGTCTGTGCACTTGGGGCAGCACCACTCAGTGGTCTTCTGCAGATCTGGGAGGAGGAAACACAGATCTATAGGGAAAGCTAGTCCAAGCAGCCCCCGGAAGGCACAGATCTTTCTTTCCTGGTTTTAAGGGCAGAGAGGAAACAGCAAAAAAGATGGGGCCTGGCATTTCCATGACAAGCTTTGTTCTGCTGGACAGAAAGGTCCCTGGCCTCAGGAAAACTCAGGTCCTGCTCAGCTCAACCTCTGACCTATCCACTGGTGGAGAGACGAGATGTGTTGGGATCACCTGTTGGCAGCGGCTGTCCCGTTAGCGATTCTCCCTTTGTGGCATTGATGTCGAAGTTGTTCATGCTTCTTTCTTATGAGAGTGGGAAGAGGGGAGACGAGGATATCCATCTTAAGAAGCCTCTACATAACTTCACCAACTACATTAACACCCCAAACATTTCATGCTGGACGTAAAAGTAGACTAAAGAGCTAGTAGGTCATACTTCATGTAGGGTAAAGATCAGGACAAAATGAACTACCCACTGATAGCCTGAGGTTCTCCAGAAATCACTAAGGGATTTGGGAATTCCTACAAAAACTGTCTCTGGCACTTAGCCATAGATAGGCATGGTAATGTGTTTTTAAAGCCAATGTCCTTGGGGAAAACAGCTTCCCTTCACCTAGGGCGTATTGGAAAGACCATTCCCATGGGATGATGACGATGATGACCTTGTAGTCCTTCAGTAAGAACTGTGAATCTGAAGGAGAGAGAGCCACCTCTGGACTGATCTTATGTTGGTTTCCTATGTCTCCTGTCAGCCATCCCACCCCTCCCTATGCCCAAAGCTCCCCCTGTTTCCTTCTTGGAAGCAATGCTGTTCTCTGATAGGTCTCTGGGTAGAAATTGATCAACAGCTGCTGAATGATCACTCCTGGGTTCAGAGGCATTTAGTAAAAGGTATTCTCTGAAACTGTAGAAAATGACTCCCTAATGGTTTTCTAAAATAATTTTTATTGATAGCATTTGTTTTTACGTCACCTACATTTCCCAATGAGTCCCCTCTCCCCACAAGAGCTTCCTGTATAACAAAGAATAGAAGGAAAACTAACCAACAAATTGAAAAAAGTCTGATTTTATATGCAGTATTCCACACTCATAGTCTCTCACCTCTGTAAAGAAGTGGGTCCCATTGTGTTTTATATGTCTTTTGAAAGCAAATAATCAAACTCCACAAGGTTGGGACTTTTTCTAAGAAAGCTTCCTTCCCCATCTTGTCATCGCTAATCCCGAGTGAACCCTCTCTGAGGGCCAAACATTTCTATTTCTTACATTACTTCTCTTGGGAGCCTGCGACCACCCCATCACACAAACACCAATGCTGGTGCCCAAGTGTGGACAGTCAGTCAGCCATTAGAGTCATAGAGACACAACTAGGAGTCTTGGTGACTGTGCTTATTTATTAGCTCCGAGGCAAGGGGCTTCCTAGGGATCTCAGGCCTAGTCTCTGGGGCTCTCAAATAGGGGAGCTCTAACTGGGAAAGAGATGAGAATCCTGAGATTACAGGTGGATTTCTGAAAAGCACAAAAATCTCTAAGGATTTTCTTTTCCCCGGTAGTTAAGTCAGCATGAAACCTGAGGCAGTCCACATGTGATTTAATTCAATCTCAGGATATGCTTCAAAAATATGACTTGGTGGGTAACAAACATTCACTTTCCTAGGCCCTGGTCTCCAAGTCCAGTCCAAGGGGATGAGACCCTCAAACAAAATGTTTTTCTCTAGGGTTGGTTAAGAGAACTCAACTCAGATGTTGCCCTGATCTATCACTTAATGCCAAAGGTGAGACACAGGCCACAGAACACCCCTCCCATCCACCAGGTATTTACTTTTCCTTACACGTGGAAAATACCTTTTTGAAATTGCTAACTGTAACACTTGAGTAGACAAGTTTCTGAGGTTTATTCTTTGCATCCTAGAAAAATTAGCTCAGCTTCCTATATCCAACTCTCCCTAGAATAGGAGTTTCTAACCTTTTTTTTTAATGTCAGAGACCCCTTCTCAAGAATAATTGTTTTTAAAAATTTATAGTTTAAGAACTACATTTCAGTTAGAGATTACTGATAATAAATCTGGTTTTTTTTTCATCCAAATTCATACTGCATCCTTCCCCGAGCTTAAGAATCCCTGCCTTATGGGAATTTTATGTGCAGCACTGTGTTTTGAGGGGACCCATACGTATCTAAAGTGAAGTCTTCTTTGGGAATCAGAGTGTTTTAGGGAATTCTATTTTGACAAAGACACGCTAACAAAAAGAAGGAAGCCCCAATGGATGGAGATGAAATTTGCCCTGCAAGCTTGCTGCCAGGAACCATGGCCACCCTGGGCTGCTTCAGGTTTCTGGAACCTAGCCAAGGTGCCCCCAGACTCATATCCTGGATGTGAAGAAAAGGACTACACAAGGTTCCCACCTAAGGAACAAACCTTTGGGTCAAAAAGTCTACTTTTCTCCTGGTTATGTGTGCAAATATACAGAAATGCATATAGGCATAGACATATGCATATTAATATTTATACACACCTATTTTGAACAAAGAAGCAATGTCATCGGGCTGGCTCCAGATCCACACAGTCCAGCTCAGTAGCAGTCAAAGACCCAAATGGCCATGAGGAAAGCTTTTTGGGTGGGGAGGGGTGGGCAAGAGCCCTAAGATACTAGAAGATTGGTGGTGGTCTACAGTTTTCTATATTATTATACGTGCAAGAAAAAATGTTTTCCCAGAAATATGGGGCAGCACCCAGTTACAGTAAACTTTGATACTGTATATTGAAATTCAACTTCTGGGGAAGTTTTCCTACAGTTCTCATTTCCTCTGTTAATGTCGGTGGATTCTACCCACCTCTTCATCTTTTAACAGTGAGCTCAGCCTCCTAGTGTGGTGAAGTCATTTAGCCCCTATCTAGCGATACGGCAGAATCCATAGGCAAAACCCCAAAGTCCCTTATAGGTTCTGTGCATGCTTTTCTTCTGCAAAACTTTTGATGATTTGTTTCTTTTTTTCTTTCTATTTTTAGTAAAAAAAAAATAACAATAATAAAGTACCTTTTGATAGGGTCCTGTTTCCTATGTATGCAAAATAAAAATGAATTTGGGTGTGTGCCTCAATTGTTTTGCTGAACACAGGGAGTGAGGTTCCACATATTTATTAGGCACCTGCTGAATGCTAGACATGGGAGATTCAGAATCAAAAATGAAATGGTCTCTGCTCCTGGGAAGCTTATGTTCTATTGGAGGGAATGTTATATATATAAAGACAGTATAATAGAAAGAAAGGAGATTTAAAAAAAAGATCCAGGCCAAGTGGTCTGGGAATCTCTGAGATGGGAGGGAGTGTTAACTGGGGCAGGTGGGGGAATCAGGAATGGTCAGTCAGAGAAGGTGACATCTTAGCTGAGTCTTCAAGAATTGTACGAGGTAAAGATGAGAAGACTGTGCATCCTAGGCATGATGGACTGCCCTGGGGAATGCATGGATCATGGCACAATAGGGAGAGTCCTGAATTCGGAGTCGGAGGACCTGAGTTCAAATACTAGTGCTACTCCTTGACTCCCTGAAAAGCCTTGAGCAAAACACTTTGTCTCATCAGGCATTAATTTCTTCATCTGAAAAACAGGGGGATCTGATGGCCAACCACATATACTGTCCTTGAGTTGCAGATCATATATTTAGAGCTTGAATGGATTCAGAGACCATCTCGATCTAACCCTCCATTTGAGAGATGAAGGAATGGAGGCTCATGGGTGATGAGTAAGTTGCTCTGAGATTCCACAGATATGTTAGAGATGAGAGAATTTTTTTTTTGTGGGGGGGAGACTTGATCTCTCTATCTCACCTAGGTTGAAGATTCAGCAGCTACTCAAAGGCTTGATCTCACTTCTGATGAGCATAGAAGCTTTGACCTGCTCCATTTCCAACCTGGACTGGTTCAGCCCTCTGGCAGCCTGGTGACCTTCCTCTCCCAAGGAAGAGATCATCATATTGGTGCTGGACCTAGTGTAGACAGCCCGCAGACCTTAAATACACTTCAGCTCAGAACTCCTGTACTCAAGCCATCACCTAACGTACATCTCTCCAGTATCTGGGACTACAGTCTTGCATCACCACACCTGGCAAAGATGAGATTTGAACCTCTTATTTCTGAGTCATCCATCTTTCCATTGTAGAAGAATGGTCTTGATGACCTTCAAATCTGTCATCTTACGATCTTAAGTCATCATGTAGAGTGATTGGGGAAATGGGTAATGAGATAGAAAAGGTAAATTGTGATTAGATTGTGGAAGAACTGAAGAATGTATTTTATCCAAGAGGCCATAGGGAGCCATTGAAGGTGGTGGTGGTAGTGGTGGTGGAAACAGTAGCATGATCACACCTGTTAGGAATGCTTCTTTGGCAGTGGTGTGGAAGACAAATTGGAGAGGAGAAAGACTTGAGGCAGGGAGGCCAGGTAAGATGGTAGAGTGAGTAGTGATGAGGAAGCTTCTAGATCCTTTTCTCAGGCCCCTTGGACTGTAACTGAGATCATGTTACATTTCTAATACTTGGCTATCCTGATGCTCATTGAACCCTTTCCTGCTCAGACAGTCTTGTAGGGGCTTCATGGGTCTAGCACAGTGTTCTTCATGGTGCTTAACAAATTCATGCTGAATGAATCAAAAGCACCAAAACAACAATACCCATCAGGCCCAGCAGTTGGACTGTGGGCTGAGCACTTCTCTTCCCTTCTTGTTTACTCTGTGGGGCCCTGAAGTCAGACCTGCAACCTAGCACCAAACCAAGATCTTTGCTTAGAGTCATCTCTGTGATACATAGAAAGGGAGATAGGGTGGAATCATAGAAGGAGCCCTAGATTGGGCCTCGAGTTCTGAGCTCCACTACTGATAAGCTGTCTGACCTTGAATGGGACACTCTTTTGGACCTCAGTTTCTTCTTCTGTAGAAAGAAGAAACTTAGTGTTCTCTAGTCTCTTTTACTCTGATGTGCTTTTCCATTTTTCTCAATCGACAAGCATTTATGAGACAAAAGTGAAGCAGTGCCTGCCCTCAATGAGCTTACATTCTATCAAGGGAGACCACATAGGTACACACAAAGTAGAAGGTGATTTGAGGAGGGTAAACACTCAGCTGGGGGAGGAGGCAGATCAGGAAAGGCTTCATGTTTTGAAGGAAATAGATTCTAACAAAAAGAGGTGAGCGGAAGAGCGGTCCAGGAATTGGAGACCACCAGTGCAAAGAGAGGGAGGTAGGAGTGTTGTGTGTGAACAGCCACGAATGTAAAGTAGAGGGCCATAATGTATAAGAAGACTGAAAAGGTAGGAAGTAGCCCAGGTGTGAAAACCTTTAGATGTCAAATAAAGAAGTTTATATTTGATCCTAGAGATGATACAGGGTGTTATCTTAGTTGATTGTTGTTAATGAAGAGACCTATCAAGCCATTGGAAACTCAAACATCAAGTCAGATCATGGAGCACAGAAACAGGCAGAACATTTTCTGGATCATAGGTCATAGATAATAGAGCTGGAAAGGACTGTAGAGATAATGTTTTTTGATAGGGGAAATTATGCTTGCTTGATCTGCCTGAGCTCTTTGAGAAGGGCCATTAAAAATCAACAAACATTTATTAAAAGCCTACTGTGTACCAAGCACCCTGCTAGGAGCTCAGGATGCAAAGGCAATCTCCCTGCCCTCAGAGAGCTCATATTCTGATGGAGGAATACAACCGGCATATCTAGAAGGCTATGCAGAACAGACAGATACAAGATAAAATTGGTGAAGGTGGGAGGGAGGCGCTAGCAACTGAGACAACTAAGAATGACTTTATATACAAGGTGGTGCTTGAGCTGAATCTTGAAGGAAGCC